TTAATGTTTTTATAGTTACTAAAGTTTGACTTTTTAATGTTTTTATAGTTACTAAAGTTTGACTTTTTAACATTTTTATAGTTACTAAAGTTTGACTTTTTAATGTTTTTATAGTTACTAAAGTTTGACTTTTTAATGTTTTAGTTAATGAAACATGTTCTGTTTTGGAGGTGATGTGTTGAAATTGTTTCTCAACAAGCTGTTAATTTTATAGAAGCTGAAGATGACCTTATTTTAAATATAAGTAAGTTGTTTTTTATTTTTTATTGCTTATTTTTTTGTTAGATACTCACTCATGTTTTACATGAATCTAATTATTTAGTACAGTGTTATTATCTGGTGGTGATTTTCAGGTTAGATTTTATTAACTTAAATTTACTTTTAAAGAATATTTCAAATTTACTTCTTAAAAAACATTTGCTTTTGCTTTTTTTTTATTTTAGTTTTTAATAATTTAAATAGTAATTTTTTTATATAATTTGGAACTGTCCGCTTTTAGGGACAATTTTCCGAAAAGCGGACACTTTTTAAAAAAAATAAAATCTTATTTTCCATAGAAACTTCAAATTATTATTGTTTTTTTTTAAACTAAAGAATTGCTTTAATAATCAACTATATTCCAGAAAAAAAATCGTACAAATTCTCAATATTGAAAAAGTTATTTAGCTTTTTGTGAAGAGTGTACTTTTACTCTATAATATTTTATCGTACTTTTTTTTAAATTTATATTTTTATCTTATCTCAAAAAAAATGTTTTTTTTTTCTTAAGTAAATTTCTATATTTTTTATGTTTGGAGTTATTGTTTTGAATGGATATATTAAAATATATCCAATAAAGAAATATTTTTAATTTTATTTTTTTGATTTTAGTTTTAGTTGAGTTATTTTTATTTTTATTTTTTTTTTTATTTAACACAGAAATATTTTTAATTTTATGTAATCTACATTTTTGTAACTTTCTACAAATTTTTATTTAATTATGTGAAAGTTACCATAATAAAAAGATATTCTTGTTTGGTATTTTCAACAGTTTCAATTGTAAAATAGTAAAATTAAAATAACAATATTTATTTGATTGTTATTTTAACTTTAGTCTCATAGCTTATCATATATTGTAAGTTTTAAATTCGAATATATCTTTATCTTAAGTTTTAAAGTTTGTATTTATTTTATTTTCTATTTATTTTCTAAGTTGTTGTGAAATTGCAGTTTGTATTTTTCTGTCCAATGACATGGGTTTCAAAGTGGAGGGGCACAATGGTCAAATTCTAAATAAAGTCTTCTATATCTAGAATAGGCAATAAGATTTTCCCTCTATTTATTAAAGGGAAGGAATTACACTTACCAAAAGTGCAGTTGGAGAAGTTAGAGTGGGCAGTGGTAAACACATAACTACATCTACAAATAAAAGAGGTATTTAAATGTATTTAGTTTTATATGTATATTTTTATTGATCTATTTTTTAAGTTTTGTTTGTAAATTAATATATTCATTCAAAAATACCATTCAACAATTTTTTTTTCTTTTAATACTAATTTAGTTAAAAATTGAGTTTTATTTACAAAAAAATTTGTTGAAAGTTGTAGATTTTATTTTTACTCTAAACACTGTCAAAATTTAAGTCAACAGAACATGCAAAATATTAGAATAATTCAAAAGCAAGTGACAGTGTTTATCGTTCTCCATGTCAAAATAATATATTGTCATTAAAAATTTTTTGAATACTTTATTAATTTTCATAATCACTGGTTATCGCAGGTGTTCATAGGTCTATTAAGTAATTGCAAAATAAAAAAAAAAATGAACTTAATATGAAAGAAATGTTCTTTATCGATGTGTCCTTATCTGTTCTAAAAAATATTATTGTTTTTAATTAAAAGAATATACTTAAAAAAAATTAACATTTTAATAAGTTTTTTTTTTTAACTTTTTGTCCTTCATTATCTTGCGAAGGTAGAGTTATTTTTTATGTTTTCAACTGCAAGTATTATGTATTAAAAACATTTTAAATTAAGTTGTTATTCTATTTCTTTAGTTCTACTTTGGTGCTCCACAGACTATTATGTTTAGTTTATCAACTGTTAAAATATGGTTTTAACTTAGTAAGCTTTAATTATTTTAAGTTTACTATGTTGATCATTAACTAATAGTTTGAATAGAAATTAGTTTTTATTGCAAACAAGGTAAGAATAATTTTATTTTCTGGTCAAATAACATTATTTTTTTGTTTTTTTAATTATAAGAAGTTTTTTCTGTTACACATAAATTAATTTTTTTTTCTCACAGATTTTTATTGTTTGATCAGCAATAATTGGTTTGCAGTGTTATTTTACCTTTTTTACTTTTTTTTATGTCATTATTTAATTTAGTTTTTTTAGCAAAAGCACCCCCTTTATATTTATTTATATATATATATATATATATATATATATATATATATATATATATATATATATATATATATATATATATATATATATATATATATATATATATATAATTATTCACCTCCCCAAGGTCCGAGGGGGCCACTACAGTCGAGGAAGCTACTCATTTTTTTTTTGTTGTTGTTGTTGTTGTAAATCGTGGTACAACCCTCTCTCAACTCTTTAACTTCGAAACAAGAACCTTGACAAGCAAGGCCGCTGCGCAGAGAAATTAAGTTGAGCACGGTACTTCCAGGGACGTGGTGGGAGTCGAACTCTGAACCTCTCGCTTACAAAGCGAGCACTCTTACCACTACACCACTACCGCATTATATATATATACATATGTTGAGGAGGAGAGTGAGTTGTAGAAAAAAAAATGCTGCGTCTATAATTAGTATTTAAGTAGTTGGTTATTCTACCAATTAAACCAAATATTGGTTAATCTACCAACCCTTTATTGATAATGCAAATTTAGTTGAATTTTGTTTGTAAACATACTATTCTTTATATATATTTTTTTGTTATTATGTATCAATAATTTGATTTCCAGTTAATACATTAATACAACACAGATTGTTTTTTATTCCTTCAAAACATGCCAAAGTGGTTAAAGTGCTTTGCGTGGGTCCAAATCCTTTCGTTTACACTTAATTTATATAAAATCTTTTCCAACTTTCTAGAATACAAAATAAAACATTTTTAAAGGCCTATAGATATTATATGCATAACATACATTAAGATATTATACACTATAATAAACAAAAGGGACAGAATTTTTTAAAAAGCTTTTTAAAATTCTAAAAACATGATTACACTATTAAAAATTTGTTGAGCATATGTCATGATACTTAAGTTGTTAATGTGCTTAGTAATTAGTAAAGTCTGCGCATTAAAGGGACAATTTTATTTTTTTAAAGGAAAATATTTTACATGCCCTGTTAATTTTAAAGAAAAAAAGATTTTTCTTTAAAATTAACAGGGCAAGAGTCCTAATAAGCTGTAGATTCGAAAAAAAATTAGAAACCTATTAAGAAAAAAATAGCCGCTGTCCCATTTTTTTTTTTTATAGAAATTTGTTGAAGTTATAAAGTATTGAACATTTATGGTTATATCAAAACAAAGATTTTTATATTTATCTCTTTAAAAATTATTGAAATAGTTATTTCGGTCAGTGTGGAATAGACTTACCATGACCAGTATTAAACGGCTCATGGTAAGTCTGTTGTTCCACATATTTAAATCATTTCATGTTTTTTTAAAATTAGTTACAATAGAATTTTTTTTTTAGCTTAAAAATTAAAACAATGAGTATAGTTTTTATATTTTTGTATAGTTTTTTTCCTACCTCTTACTCAAATATATTGAGGATTTAGTATAGAAAAGGTCAGTTTGGAATACATTTGCAAGACCCATATTTTACGGGTCACGACAACAAAATTTTTTTAAAATGATTAAAAGTTATTTAATATTGATACAATAAGGAAATTTAGAGTTATACAGCTATTAATCCACGCCCCCGTTAAACTTCCAAGGCTGAGTGCGCAATAACAACATAATTTACTCTATTATTTTTTGGCTTTATATACTTTTTGACTGATCCTTTATCTAAACTTTAAAATAAGGGATTGTACATAAATTACTCAACGCTAAATTTCACAATTGAAGAAAACAAAAATGATCTAAATTTTTACTCACAAAGTCGTATGTTAAACAAAAAATCTATATAGCTCATTAAGTTAAATAAAAATCGCCATCTTAAAGAACTGAAGATTTCTTCTACTTTTTGAGAAATAAATTTAGGGTTGCGTGATGTGGGCGATTCCATAGCGTTTTATAGTCTATCTATTTTTTTGCTCTTAAAGTTGTTTTTCAGAACAAAATTATTTTACTTAAAAGTATTGAAGTAAATAAGGAATAGGTATAGAAATAATCTTTGTGGAATAGGTATGTATAGAAATAGTAGGTTCGGTAAAGACCTGTATTTTACGGATTTGAAAAGCTAGGATATATAAGGAAAAAGTATTTACAAAGACCTGTAGCTGAGATTGGCCCTGTTTTATTGGTCCAATCTGAGCTAGTTTATATTATTATTAAACTTGATGCATCAAATAATTGCTATTACTTTAAAAGTACAAGAAATTACGACTTTCATTTTTAACATTAAACTTTTTGTTAAATTTGTTGCATTACCATACAATGTAAACTCTGGAATTTATTGAAAACTAATTATATTTATTACAAAAATTAAAGCTTTTTGACAAAATTTTGAAAAGGTATTATACTTTTTAAATATTCATAAAAATTATTTTTTTTTATAACATTAAGTAACACATTTTAAAACTTTAAAAATGAGAAATATTATGATGTCCATAAGTTATAAAAACCTGTTTTAATAAAAATGTTTAAAAATTAGTTAAGATTTAAAAAAATATTTTAAAAGACCAAACCCAATAATAAGAAAAAATTTTAACCAAAATTTACTGTGGTGATCTTGGAAGAGCACAATATTAATTTGTTAATACAATGTATTTTGCATATTTTAATAATAATATTATTGACAACAAAAATTACCTTTTACTGGTACAGCTGAAGGTATTAGGTTACTTAAATAATGAAAAAACAGCTTCTCAATAGAACTGTTTACAACAGGAGATGTTCCAGATTGACTAATAAACTCAGCTGTTCGAAGTGAACGCTTAATTGGATGTGGCCTTTTAAACAACTAAAAAACAAAATGATTTAATATTATCAAACTTTTAATAAATATATATAAATAAATATATATAAATATATATTACCCCATCCCATTTTGACCCTTACGAAAAAATTAATAATGGAGTGTCATAAAATGCTCCCAAGGTATTGTTTTCTTAATCAAATTTTTTAATTTTTCATTTTGGACGACTATTGAGTGCGAAACTTTTATAGTTTAACTTTTTTACAATTTTTGAGTTTTTAAGAGCATTTTCAAACAATTAGTGCAAATACAAATTTAAAAATCATTAGCTATATAATTTCACTATTATAAAGAATAGGTTTTTATCTATACCTATTATTATTTAAAAGATTTTTATCTATACCTATTGTGCGCATTTTAATTATTATTAGTTTTGTTAACAAGTGGCATTTTAAAAATACACAAGTTCGTTATGAAATTAAAAAAACATGATTTTCAAATACGATAGCATTGAGAATACACAATTAAAATCTTCGAATTAGAGCTTTGATGGTGTTGAGCAAACAATGAGACAATGCTTTTTAATCACCAAAATATTAGGGGCAACTATTTGCAGGAACTCCATTAGCCAAATTCATTTGAAGCAGTCTGCACACTTATGTTTACAATGTAGGGAAAAAAAATAAAAATGGTAGCTTCTCAATTTGATAAAGTATCAGCAAGTGTTCTACATCTTAATATTTATACTTATTCTGGCCAGATTTTTAATTGTATTGTGCTTCTGCTTTATGCTTTATAACAATTTTAAATCAAAAGATTCGAATGGTCTACTCAAATACTATCATTTACCAAGATCAGAAAGTGTACTAAAAACACTTCACTTGTATTGTGCTTCTGCTTTATGTTTTATAATAATATTAAATCAAAAGATTCAAATGGTCTCAAATACTATCATGTACCAAGATCAGAAAGTGTAAAAAAAACCTATATGAAGTTGTTAACAACAAGTTTATAAAAAGAGAGATAAAATACAAACAATTTCCCAGACATTACTATTCCAGTTTAACAGTAAGAAAAAAGATGAGAAAAAAACTGACTAGCTAAAATAAAACTTCAATCAATCTTAAAAACAAATGTGGTATACAGAAAAAAAAAATACAATTTAACATAGCAAAATTAGATTGCAAAACATGATTTCAATATAATTTAAATTTTTTGTCTTACAACCATATATTGACTTTAATGTTTCTTCAACAATTACTAATTGGTCTCTGCAAGTATGATTAAAAAACAAAAAATTTTGCATCGGTACACTCAATCTGTAGCTAGCATTGAACATAACTTTGAGGGAAATTTTCTACTTGTTGTTCATGGCCCAACACAATCAACACAATCTTGAGTTTTCTAGTTTAACAAATTTTTTGATGGACCTAATATATCAGGGCTACAACCATATTTATTGTTGATTAAGCTAATAAAGTATAGGCCTTTTTAAACTTTTGCTTTAGAAAGAAGTTCCAAATAATTTACTTTTTTGATTATTTTCTAAATTATTTAGGCCTGGTGTAGCTGTTCTTTTTTAAAAAACATTCCAATTTAACATAAAACTTAAAAAATTTCCTAAAAAAACCAAGCAAATTAGATAGTCAAGCGGCTGTACTTTTATGTTTTCTGTGATCATGCCACTCTTTTATGTTTTGTACAACTCAGCAGCCATTTTTTAAAAGTGATTTTGAATTAAAATCCTTTCAAAAATAATTTAGTTCTGGATCTGCTGATATAGCAATTATGTCATCTTTTTTATTTTATTTTTTTAGGACACAGTTAATCTTAAAAAATGGTTACACTTGGTAATTGTTCTGTTCAAGATAGTCTAAATTTTTTCTTTAATAGTTTTAATTGTAGTTAGTATTATTGTGTTTAAAAACACAAAAGTGAAAGTAAGCAACCCAGTATACAACCTGCTAGAACTAACAGGACAACTTTCTTAACATTATATAACACAAAAGGATTAAATCAAAAAGTAAAACTACTAATCTCAAGTAGTCACTATATAATTTTACACTCATTTAATGTACATAACACATAAACAGGTAACTATTTTATTTTGCAACTTTGTAGCATTCTTTATGCTTTTTCGGGAAATCTGCAGTTCCCTTCCTTTTTATGGTCACAAAACTTGTAAATGATATCTTTACTAACTTTCTTATCGTAAAACATCTTGTTTGATGACCGTTCAGCTATAATTTTAGGTATTTTAAGTGAGACTGCATTGAAAATACATGTTTGCTATTCCTTAACAATATTCAGTAGCCTATTAGGCTTCAGTCTTTTTTTAGCTTTAAATAACATAAATACATATGCATTTTGTTTTGCACTTCCTTGAAAGTACCACATAAGACTCCTTTTCTATCTTTTATAATCATTTACGTTTTTAATCATGATGTATTAGGAAATAATAGTAACAACGACAGTATTGTTTAGCTGGTTTTTTTAATAACAAAGTTACCATCTCCTTTTTTTCTCTACATCTAATTAATTTCGAAACCAGCCCTCTCAAATGAATTTGGCTAATACATTATAAAAGGTTAAGAAATAGCAGGGTAAAGATAAAATTATTTTACTTTAAAATACCTTTATGCAAAAAACAAAATAAGTTTCTAATATTGAAATTATTTACATTTAGACTTTTGAGAAGAGATTATTGTGAACTTGAGGAAAAAGACCATTAATTAAAAAGTAACAAATATGTAGCTACATGAAATTCAAGTTGCATTTCCTCAAAATCATGTAATAGTAATAGGTCTAAAAAGTACTTAAGTAAAAAGTACTTAAGTAAAACACAATCCCACAATCCGAAAATGACAAAATAAAATAACAACAATAAAAAAACCCAGCAAAAAAATAATTGTTTTTAAAACTTGTTGTCTTATATTTAAATTATTGCTTGTTGGCTTCTATTTAAATTACTGCTTGTTGTCTGCTATTCAAATTATATCTTGTTGGATTTCATTTAAATAACTGCTTATTGCCTCCCATTTACGTTTGTAGAAAGTAAAGCATTTTAAAGAATTTGTTTTGTGTTTAAATCCCAAGTGCTATGCAAAAAAAAGATTTATATTGAAAAAAAATTTTTGATGTCAAATTATTTTATCAATTGCAACTGACCCTGTTAAAACAACAGTTAAATATCTGCAACTAGACATGTCATCTTTATCAGAGAAAATATTATATCATTTTTTGTTTTGGGCTTAGCATACTTTAATGGTTGCTATGATGGAGATAAGTTAAAAGAGACTTTGCTAAAAACCTTTTACAGCCTTAAGATGATAATAAGCGTAATATCAGATAGTTACATAACTGTCATAAATATGCAAGTTACATAACTGTTCAAAATATTTGAAAATTTGTTTGAATATGTGTAAAATATTTGAAAAAATTGTTTTAATATTAGTTAAAAAGCTAATTAATTTAGTTAAAAAAGGTAAAAAAAAAAGTTCACATAATTTTTTTTTTAATATTAACCAAGTGCAGAAAAATTATTACGTCTTTTAATCACTCCTCTCCACTAAACTTGATAAATGACAACAACGTGTATCAGAAGCAAGTCAGATATAACAATATGTTGATTTATCAAAAACAAGTCAGATAAAACAATGGGTTGAAAAAAAAACATATTATTCATTTTAGTCAAGATGTGAAAACTCATGGTAGAATAAATGCTTAAACTGCACTACTATATTAAAGATATCTTCGATTCAAAGCAACAATTCTAAGATATGAGGAAAAATATGCTTGATGAAGACGAAAATGTATGACTGAAAGAAACAGTAATTTAAGAAAAGAAAGAAAGAGACAGCATTAGTAACCTTTAATCAAGCGTTTTACTATCTGCTGATATTTGTGCAACATGTTTTTAAATTATTTCAAGTACCATAAGCAGCAACAAAATAAGAAAAAAGTAATCCCCCCCCTTGCTTTAATTGCGCTAATATTTATAACATTAGTTTTTTTGCAAACAAGATTTGTATGAACTAGAGAATTTATATTTACTGAGTGCCACTTTTTTGGATCAAAATTATGTAAGTTCATTGAAAATTTATTGAAATATATATTATAAAATATCAAAAATATATATTGTAAAATATCATTTATTCAATTCTTTAAAAAGTATAATTTTTTTTTTTAATTTCAATTTTTTTTAAAGACATAAAGACTTTTGGCTTGCAAAATTCAAATTGAAAAAGGTGACAAAGAGATTAAAATTTTGAAATGATAGTTCAACAAATTTAAGTTATTTCAAAAATAGAAATCAGAGAAAATGTAAAGTTGTCAGTGTATATACAAAATATTAACATATATATTAACATAGAGTTTTGATATCAACACGTTTCCAATACTTTATTTCAACAATGATTTTATGTACATCTATTAACAGTGAATCAAGTAAGCGCTTTTTTTTCTGACTTTGTATGAAAAGCAAAGCTATGTATATTTTTCTTACAGGATAATTGTTTTTAAATGTTAATAATTTTGTATGAAAATTTTAAAATTTATTTCAAAATTAGTGCAATTTATTTAGTTAAATACTGCATTTTATTTTAACTAATATTTTTTTATTTTGTTTTTTTTTAAAAGCATTTTTTGGTATTTTATCATTTTTTTTGGAAATCTTGAAGTAATTTTACATTTTTTTGGTAATAATTTCCATCATAAAAATAGAAAGCTCTTATGGAACATTTTTACTTATGATAAATTCATATTTATACTGTGAATAAAAATACACATCAATTCAATCAAGCAGGCTACTTCTTTTTTTTTATAATTATTACTCTTTTCATAACTATTGATATGCCCACTTGAGAAAACTCAACCCTATAACCACTAACCCTATAACCTCTATGATTGTGAGGATTAAAACAACTAAATTTAATTCCCTTAAAAAGTGCTTTACCACAACACCACTACTGCAGTAATTTAACTTATTAAACTGCATAAACCACTACTGCAGTAATTTAACTTATTAAACTGCATAAACCTTTTATATTTTTGAAGAAGATGTAGCACTACACAGCATTTTGAAGAAGAAAAAACATCTACTAACACTTTTAAGTTTCAATGGAAAAGAAATTATTCTCTAAAAAATTGTTTGAACATTAGCATACTAGTTAACTTTAGCAAAAACTATAGTAACTATAGTAACTACAGTAAATATTATAACTAATGTTTTTTTATTTATTTTTAAATCAAAAATTTTACTATTGGAAACAAAATTATTTACCTGCTTTGGCATTTGCCCAAAGTTATTGATAAAACCAATTGTAGCTTTCCTCTCTAAAGGATCTTCAATTTCATCAATATCAACTGATTTTTCATAAAAAAGATGATGAAAGACATTATCAGCTTGAACTGCGGCTGGACCTGTCTGCTTAAAACCGAAAACTAAATCAATCCATTCATGCAAGTGACTGCTAACATAATCACACTCTAAAGCCTAAAAAACATTTTAAAATTTATAGAATGTTCAATTTTTAAATTGAACATTCTATAAATTTAATAAAATATTCAACTAAACACATTTGTTTAGTTGAATGTTTTGCTTAATGAGTGATTGAATTTGTCACATGTCTGGTTGAGTTTTTAGCTGAATCAGCAGTTGAATTATTAGATGAATAAATGGCTTAATTTTTGGATGTATTATAGCTGATTATGTTTTAAATTTTTAGATACATTGAAGCTGATTATATTCTTTTATCAGCTTTTTAAAAGTTATGTATAAAATAATAACTAAATAAATAGATGAATAAAAACAAAGATACCTCTCTGTTAACTCTGATAAACTCAATTGCGTCACCTTTTGCCCATGGTGGTAGTATAACATGATTAAGTACTTCACCACTTTGTTTTGTGCCTAAAAAAGATTTTTTATATCAAGATAAAATATTTCTGATTATTATTGATCTCTTACTTTTAATGTTCTTTTAGAAAAATGATAAAAACAGCATAATATCAGTTAACACTATGCTGTTTTTATCATTTTTGAAAAAATTGAGTTTAAAAATATTTTATTCAATTATATTCAAGATTTTATATACAACAAGTACAGTTCTCAACCTCGAACTCCAAAAGATAAAGGAAAATGGTTCAATTTAACCAAGGACATCTTAAACGGATAGCTCATTTTCCACAAAATTAAGAAAAACTTACTTTTTTACAGGAAAGTTAGTTTTAATGAGAGTTTTAGTTGTTTGATTTAAATTATTACAGTTAAACTCATAAAAAATCTAATAAAATTTGTGGCTATGGTTACTCCTCAAATTACAAATCAAAAATAAAAGATAATGTTTATGTCACAATGTATAGATTTTCCTTTAAACCCAAAGATTGCAATTTATGGATTAAAAAACCTCCAGATACAAACTTTGTGTTTAAAGATTATAAGCGAACTTGTGCTCAGTCATGGCCTAAAGATGCAGAATTAAAAAAAAGTCAATAGTGGTAGTTTTGTTCTAATGCATCCTCCATCATCTTTTTTTAGCAGATATTTCAGATGCATTGCATCTTTATTAAAAATCTTGATCAGTATATTTTAATCTTGTAGAGAAATTTGTTTTGTGAATTGAATGAGAGTTGCATCAAATGACAAAAAAAGTAAATAAACCTAAAGATACTAAATATTTAAAGATAATATTTAAGCACCTTCAGGAATTTCAGAAATACTGCTTTATCTTGGCCTATGAGGAGTACATAAAACCTGGGCTACAGTAAAGATCTTTGTTTTTAGTATTTTTTAAAATACTGATAAAATTGTAGAATTAAATTAGATTTAAACCAGACCATGGTCAGGTCAGGTTTATCCTGCTACTGGTAAAATGTAATCAGTACAATCTGCTAAATGTCCTGCTGCCTTGTAGGATATGCCTTTTTAGGCAAAGGCTAGGAGATGCAAACTCCGACATAAAACACCCCCTGCCTTGGGGCTCTTGGTTGAGTAAAGGCTAGAGATGGTGTCTCAATAAAAATACTCATCTTGGGCAGATGTTAAATGCATCCAGCTGCTGTCTTGTTGAAGGCCTCCTAGGCAAAGACTTAAGGGGTAAACAGATTCTATCTGTTGACCAGCTTCGCACCCCTTCTTCATCTATTAGGCTGGCGCAGATGTATTTTTAATACATTTTTTCCAGTTTAGGATGTTGAACGCTGGATTTTCTTGACTCAATTCATGGGTTTTGCTTTTGTCTCTGTTTTTATGACTAGGCAACTCATTCTATTATCTCCAAATGAGGGTACAGCTCTAAAACTCAGTTTTATGGTTCTGAAAAATATCAGAGTACTAAAAGTGCCATGTTGCGCATGGATGATGTCTCTGTTTGTACTTTTGGTGTGCATTGCCAAGACTACATTGGAGCCCTTTGTTACGGCTTAGGGTTTATTAGTGGAAATGAGGCAATTGCTTAGGCTATAAGACAGTGTATTGCTTGGGCTATAAGACAGTGTACTGAGTGCTATCTATGTTTCGAGTCAAGTTCTTTAACAAATTTAAAAATGAATAAAGTAACAAAAACTATAAAACATAAAAAACCACAGTCATCACCAAGTTCGCTAAACCTATCACTCACCAATATTTGTTGTCTTCGAAGTAACTTTTCTTCTGTTGAGTCTTATCTCTTGCAAAGTTCACCAGGCCTACTTGCTCTTTGTGAGACTAATTTGAGTTCAGCTGTTTCATCTTGTGATCTTAGTGTTGATGGTTATCTTCCTTTAATTCGTAAAGACTCCAATAGTCACATGCTTGGCCTAGGCATTTACATTTGTAAGAATTCACCCATTTGTCGGGAAACTAGGTTTAAATCCACAGACTACTCTTTTAAGTGCTTTCGTTTAGCACCACTTCACTCTATCACCTTTCTCTTTGTTCTATATCGCTTTCCCTCATCTCAAGACTGCACTCTTTTTGATGTTATTTCTGATTATATTGACCAAGCCCTCATTCTTTATCCATCAGTCAATATTGTTGTTGTCGATGGCTTTAATGTTCATCACATTGAATGGCTTGGCTCTAGTGTCAGTGACTCTGCAGGCATTAAGGCCCGCACCTTTTGTCTTTCTCAATCCCTAACTCAAATAGTCAACTTTCCAACTCGCTTTCTAGACAGCCCGAATCATTTACCTTCTCTACTCGACTTATGTCTCGTTTCTGATCCTAGCCAGTGCTCAGTTTCTTCACACTCACCCTTAGGTGCTTCTGATCATGGTTTGGTCTCTCTAAAACTATTATCTCATTCCTCTTTACCATCAGAATCCCCCTATCATCGTACATCTTACAACTACCTTAAAGCTGACTAAGACTCTTTCTGTGATTTTCTTCGTGATGGCCCCTGGGAAGAAATCTTTCTTCTCTCTGTTGACAAATGTGCTTCTTACATAACTTCGTGGATTCAGGCTGGCATGGAATCCTTTATTCCCTCTCGACGATTCCAGGTCAAGCCTCACTCTTCTCCATGGTTTTCCCCACATTGTGCTGGTGCAATTGCCAATCGAAATTATTACTTCCATATCTATCAGCAAAACAATTCTCCAGAAAACAGACGTCTGTTTATTACTGCTAGGAACCATTGTAAAAAGATTTTGTCTAATGCCAAAGCCTGCTATTCTCAGATCATAAAATCTCGTATAAATCTTCATTACAAAAATTAGGCTCTCGTGACTTCTGGAGAATCTTTAATAGTATCAATAATAAGGGCAAGTCTGTAATTCTACCTCTTGTATGGTTCAGACTTCATCACCTTACCTAAAGACAAAGCTGAATTGTTTGCCAAGAACTTTTCATCAATATCATCTCTTGACTCCACTAGTTGCGCTCTACCTGATATAGCCGTCAAACAGGTTGATCCATTGCTTGATATTCGTATCACGCCAGCTTCTGAATCTAAAGTGATTTCCCGCTTAGACTCTTCTACAGCTTGCAGCCCGGACAACATACCTGTTATATTCTTGCAGAAGTGTTCTCCGGAGCTGTTGTCTATCTTTTCAAAACTATTTAACAAGTGCTTATCAGAGTCTTGTTTTCCAGCCTGCTGGAAAGCAGCATCTGTTATCCCTATTTTTAAAAATTCTGGAGAGCGATCTGATTCATCTAACTACCGTCCCATTAGTCTTCTTCCTATCATAAGCAAGGTTTTTGAATCTTTAATTAACAAACACTTAATCTCTCATCCCGAATCTCATAACCTACTTTCTGATCATCAATATGGATTTCGATCTTCTTGTTCTACGGCTGATTTGGTATCAGTAATAACCGATAGGTTTTATCGCGCATGATAAAGGTGGAGAGGTTAAGGCCATTGCTCTTGACATTTCTAAAGTGTTTGATAAAGTTTAGCATGCTGGTCTTCTCCATAAGCTTTCTTCTTACCGTGTATCTGGAAACATCTTTAAGATTATTGAATCCTTTCTTTCCAATCGTAGTATAAAAGTTGTCCTCGATGGACAGCACTCTTCTTCTTATTCTGTAACCTCAGGGGTTCCTCAAGGTTCAATCCTTGGCCCTATACTCTTTTTAATTTACATTAACGATCTTCCAGATATTCTCACATCTAAGGTGGCATTGTTTGCTAATGATACTACCATTTATTCTTGTCACGATAAGAAGCCAACTCCCTCTGATTGCTTGCAGGGGGCACCTGAGCTTGAAAAGGGTCTCACTTCTGCTACTGAAGGGTCTCACTTCAGCCACTGGGGCTCACAGTGGCTGGTGAACTTTAATTCAGATAAAACTCAATTTTTTTGGCCAATCGTTATCACAATAGTTTAGACCTTCCTATATTTATGAACAGTAATGTACTTGATGAGTCTCCTACCCTTCATCTTCTAGGATTAACTCTCACTTCTGATCTTTCTTGGAAACCTTATATCGAATCCGTTGCAAAATTAGCATCTGCTAAAGTTGCATCTCTTTATCGAGCTTGTCACTTTCTTACTCTGGATTCTATTCTCACTTTCTTACTCTGGATCTCTATAAATCTCAAATCCGGCCTTGTTTGGAATACTGTTGCCATATCTGGGGCGGATCTTCTAATGATGCCCTTTCTCTTTTAGACAAGGTGCAAAAACGCATTGTAAACATAGTTGGACCTGCTCTTGCAGCCAACCTTTAACCTCTGTCATATCATCGTAATGTTGCTTCTCTTTCTTTTTTCTACAAATACTATAATGGGCACTGCTCGAAAGAGCTAGCGTCTCTTGTGCCATCTACTAAAATTCATTCTCGTGTTACTCGTCATTCAATTAAGTCTCATCCTTTTTCTGTTACTGTTCCTACGTGCTCCAAAAACTCTTATTCGTCTAGTTTTTTTCCTCGAACATCAGTTCTTTGGAATTCGCTTCCTTCATCTTGCTTACCTTCTCTACTCGACTTATGTCTTGTTTCTGATCCTAGTCAGTGCTCAGTTTCTTCACACTCACCCTTAGGTGCTTCTGATCATGGTTTGGTCTCACTAAAACTATTATCTCATTCTTCTTTACCATCAGAATCCCCCTATCATCGTACATCTTACAACTACCTTTGCAATTAGCAATTTTTTAGTCGTCTGTCAATCGTTATCTTGCTCTACAATCTTCATCTTTTCTCTTCCAGTAACTTCCAACACTAATTAGTGGTTGCTTGCAGCCTTGTTGGAAGCAAGGATAATTAAAAAAAAAAAAAAGAATTAGTTAAAATAAATCATTAAAAAAAACTTTTTTTAAAGAATTTTGTTTATTGATTATTAGGTATTGTGTATGGTGAAGAAGAAATGTCCAAAAAGTATCATAAACAGTTTTACGCACTAATGCTCCTTTGTCTTTTTTTTGGTGGTTCATGACTTGTTATAAAAGTTTTTTCAGTTTGTAAAGTTACAAGAAATTTTCAAA